TACTCACTTGTGCTTTATAGTTATCTGTTTACATTAATGTTTTATCACTGATTTCATCATTGCTTAGTAGCAGCGCTGTATAGTCCTTGTGGCTTAGCGCTTCTTTTTGATTATATAATAATAATAATAATCATTGCTTAGTTAATCTTAAGTTAATTTTAAGCCAGCCCGTAATGCTATGCATAGTATAAGTGGCTTTGGCATACTGCTCTTATCTGTATTTTTTTTGTACCTCTGTATGTGTGCACAAATTGGAAATAAATAAATAAATAAATAAATAAATAAATAAATCCAATACAGTGGTCAGAATTTAGCAATTTTGCCAATTTCACACAAATTTCAAAAGATGCCAATTTCCAAATAGGGTCCAGAATAAACAAGACAGACATTCCTGGCACTAAAATAACATTTCCTCTGTTCATTAGTCACGTCCCCAGGCCCCTCTTACATTCTTTTGCTTTCCACTTTGAATTTTTATTCTCACAAAAAATAGAAGATTTACTGTTATGCAGACTACTGCATTAGTGTAGAAATGGTATAAATAATATCAGCGCACTTGTGAAAGAATATTAGACTCACTAGTTGACGTGGATTGGACACTTAGCATGATTTGTTTACTTTTGAACTCTTGGTAAAAATCGAACATTTCTGCTACTTTGAGCTCAATTTCAAGGTACTTTCATTGTAAAACCAGTCAAAATCATCTCAATTTCTGTAATATGTCTTCCATTCTATAAAATGGGACCAGGAAAACTAGAATACAACAATAAATACCACACAAAAATACAGTGCAAAGTCGCTGTTTTAATCTAAAAACATGGTCAAAGTTTTTTTTCTCATTACGCACTGTGTGCTGCAAGATTTTTTTTATTCTGTGCACACTGACCACATAGACCCATTCTTTCATATGTAGACCCAGCAGCTTTCTCTCACTAGATTTGAGGGCGCTAGAATTTAGGCGTACTAGTACGTCAAAAGCCCTTGTGCGTAAGCCGTACTAGTATGTCCGAAACACTGAAAGGGTTAAGGAATACACGGATACAGTTACAGAGATTATTATATATAGCAGCATATGTGTAGATTACCTAGGATAACCCAAAAAAGTCAGCGTGGGTGGTGGAGAAGACAGTGTGGGTGGTGGGGAATGCAGTGTGGGTGGTGGGGAAGGCAGTGTGGATTTGTGTCAACAAGTTTTGAAAACAATATAATAATAACAATATTTGTGCAGTTGTTGTGTTGCATACAATGAGTGTATATATATATATATATATAATATATATATATATATATATATATATATATATATATATATATATATATATATATATATATATATATATATATATATATATATATTAATGCATTATACTGGTCTCACAGGCCACAAAAGTTACTTGAAAAAATAAAATAGAAAAGAAAAAATAGAATAAAGGTAAAAATAATATTACCAAGTAAGTGGCAGTCACCGATGTTGCCTTAAGCAGTTCATATTCTGTAGTAGTATTCATCGCAAAAAAAAAAAGAAATTCTTTTAAAACAATTAGAAAAATATTCTTGAGATTTGTTAAGAATTTTTTTTTCTGAATATTTTTCAACACTGAGAGCAAGTTTGTGATTATGGGTCTCAACAGTGAAAAGGTTAAAGTAAGGTTTTTTTTTTTTAACCCCTTGACTGTTTCGGTAGTACATGTATATATACGTCTTACGAGCCACCATGTTAGACGTATGTAGTATATACAAAAATTCTAGCGGCTTCAAATCAAGCAGGAGAAAGCTGGTAGGCCCACATGTAAGAGAATAGGTCTGTGTGGTCAGTGTGCATCATATAAAAAAAATCCTGGAGCACACAGTGCATGAGAAAAAAAAAAACTCCGACTGTGTTTTTGGATTAAAACGCCGACTTTGTGGTGTATTTTCGAATAGTATTTATGGTTGTATTCTCATATTATAGAAACAAAGGTGATTTTGATTGGTTTTCCTATGAAAAGAACCTTGAAATGGAGCTCAAAGTAGGGGAAATGTTAGATTTTGCCGATGTTCAAAAGTAAACAAATGATATCCTTGTCCAATAAATGTCCAACTAGCCATTCTAATATGCAGTCACGAATGGGTTGACATTATTTACATAATTATTACTATACTGCAGTACTCTGCATAACAGTAAATCTTCTAATTTTTGTTTGAATAAAATTCAAAATAGGAAGCAAGAGTAATATCAGAGGGGCCTGGAGATGTGACTGATGAACAAAGAAAATGTTATTTTAGATCCAGGAATGTCTGCATTGTTCATTCTGGACCTTATTTTGAAATTGGCATATTTTTTAATTTGCGTGAAATTGGCCAAATTGCAAATTTCTGACCACGTTCTTAGGTAGTTGAAATCAGTAAATGGGCAGTTTCTTGTACTCAATCGATAGAACAAATGGAGTTCTAAAGAAATAGCTATGAGTTTGGTCGACTGGAACAATGGAATTAGCCAAAAATAGGGCTCAAAGTGGGCGAAATCACCGATTCGTAAATATCGCTGAGGTCGCTAGCTTTGCAAGAGTGTAATTCCGTAAGTTTTCCATCAAATTTCATTCTTTTGGTGTCATTACCATTGGGAAAAGATTCTCTATAATTTCATAAGAAAAAATAATTTTTTTTTTTTCTGAAAAATGATTCGACACCAGGAGACACCTCAGGATTTGGGGTTCCGACAGTCAAAGGGTTAACAGTAGCTTTGAAGTAGTTGGCAGACAGAAAGCCTTTGAATTCTTCAGGAAAAGTGTTTCAGTTTTTAGTCCTTTTATGCACAATGAGTCGGACACGGGGAATATTAGAGACTTTTATAACCTACTATTATGCCTACAAGTTTTGTTGCAGCTATCAAGAAAGTTTCTGAGCAGGACTGATATTAGAGTTGACTGATCTGTATAGGTAATATGCACTGTAGTATATGCGAGTGAATTTTATGTATGTAAATATAATCACCAAGGGAAAGTGGAACAGAATTCTTCCTCCATGGGCCATGCGTGTCGTAAGAGGAGACTAAAATGCTGGAAGGGGTTAGTAACTCCTTCTCCTGTATATATCACTGAATTTAACCCTTAAATGGTCCAAACATAGATCTATGTTCGCTCGCATAGCACTCTGAACGTAGATCTACGTTTGATTTTATATGCTTTCTTATGTAAAAAAAGTAGATCTATGTTTGGACAGCTTAAGGGTTAAAAGGAGAAGCTTTCGTTTTTCCTTTTGGGCCACCCTGCCTTGGTGGGATACGGCTGGTTTGTCGAAAGAAGAAGTACAGTGGACCCCCGGTTAACGATTTTAATCCGTGCAAGAGGGATAATTGTTATGCGAAATAATCGTTATGCGAATGAATTTTCCCCATAAGAAATAATGGAAATAAAATTAATCCGTGCAAGACGCCCAAAAGTATGAAAAAAATTTTTTTTTACCACATGAAATGTTAATTTTAATACACACAAACTGAAAAAGGCATGCACAATTACATGACACTTACTTTTATTGAAGATCTGGTGATGATTGATGGGATGGGAGGAGGGGAGAGCATTATCTTCTTACTGTTTAGAAGGGGAATCCCCTTCCATTACGACTTGAGGTAGCAAGTCCTTTTCCGGGGTTACTTCCCTTCTTCTTTTAATGCCACTAGGACCAGCTTGAGAGTCACTGGACCTCTGTCGCGCAACAAATCTGTCCATAGAGCTCTGTACCTCCCGTTCCTTTACGATTTGTCTAAAATGGGCCACAACATTGTCATTGAAATAGTCACCAGCACGGCTTGCAACAGCTGTGTCAGGGTGATTTTCATCTATAAAGGTTTGCAGTTCAACCCACTGTGCACACATTTCCTTAATCTTTGAAGTAGGCACAATGGATTCCACAACTGGCATAGGCTTCTCAGGGTTAGCCCCAAACCCTTCAAAATCTTTCTTTATTTCCATACTAATTCTCACCCTTTTTACCACAGGGTTGGCACTAGAAGCTTTCTTGGGGCCCATGGTCACTTATTTTCCAGAAACAGCACCGAAAACACTGTAATAATACGAAATATTCCGAGTGTATGCTTGGATGTTACCGCGGAGGCTGGCTGGTAAACAATGGGACGGCCGGCACATGTGAGGCTGGCTGAGGGCACATTGGACGCGTCTCGGACGAAAATCGGTAAGCGGGTTTTTAATCGGTATGCGCGGCAAAAATTTTGCGATAAAAGTAATCGGTATGCGGAAAAATCGCTATGTGATGCCATCGTTATGCGGGGGTCCACTGTAAATTTAGATTTTTGAAGTCTAAATTTAAGAACTGAGAATTTTTAATATCTGTTTAATCTCTTAATAGTTCCTGGAATCATCACCCTGGCAGCTTCTACCTCTTCCTCATTGTCTACCATCCTTGCTGCCTCTACTTCTCCCTCACTGCCCCTCCCCCCTTTGTATTCTACCCTCACTGTTCTTATCCTTCACCTCATTACCTCTACCTCTCCTTCATTCCTTCCCACCATTGCTGCATCTCAAGTTACTCTACTATATTTTACATTAGCATGATGAGGAACTTCTTCTTTCAACGTACCAGCCGTATCCCTCTGAGGTGGGGTGGCCCAAAAGAAAAAACTAAAGTTTCTCCCCATGCTCCCGGCATTTTAGTAGCCTCTTACGACACGCATGGCTTACAGAGGAAGAATTCTGTTCCACTTCCCCATGGAGATAAGAGGAAATAAACAAGAATAAGAATTAGAAAGAAAATAGAAGAAAACCCAGAGGGGTGTGTATATATATATGCTTGTACACGTATGTGTAGTGTGACCTAAGTGTAAGTAGAAGTAGCAAGACGTACCTGTAATCTTGCATATTTACGAGACAGACAAAAGACACCAGCAATCCTACCATCATGTAAAACAATTACAGGCTTTCGTTTTACACTCGCTTGGCAGGATGGTAGTACCTCCCTGGGCGGTTGCTGTCTACCAACCTACTACCTTAAAAAGAGAAACTTACCTGAACTAATCTCACAGTCATAAGACAGGTGGCTTTACGCTCCTGAGGTGTAATATCAGGATGTGATGTACTGCTATCTAAAAAGGAAATTGAGATGAAAATATATTAAAAAAATTTAACTACTACAGTGAAGAATGAACATGTGTTTAAATTTTATTAAGAAGCATGAAGCCTCCATAGTGCAAAAATGTTCTTGAAAAATTTCCTATCCGACATGAATCAGTAAAGGAAAAAATTAACATGGGCTTACCTAGTTTTATAATTGGTCATATTTTTAAAATACAATATGCAACTTACATAAAGAGTGTAATAAAAAAAATTAGATAATGAAAGATTGCAGCAAGGAGGAGGCTGGAGACAATGAATATGTTGTGCATGAAGGCAATGTGTGGTGTGAATATTATGCAGCGAATCTGTAAGGTTAGAGTTAGAGATTAGAAGGAGGTGCAGGGTTACTAAAAGTATTATTCAGAGGGCTGAGGATGGGTTGTTGAGGTGGTTTGGACATTTAGAAGGGAAGGAACAAAACAGAATGACTTGTAGGGTCTATACACCTACCGCAAAAGGAAGGTAAGGTAGGGGTCGTCCTTGGAAAGGCTGGACGGGGGGAGGGGGGGAGGTATCGTGTGCGAGGAGTTTAGACTTCCAGCAAGTGTGCATGAGCATGTTAGATAAGAGTGAGTAGAGACAAGTGGTGTTTATGACTTGACGTGCTGTTGGAGTGTGAGCAAGGTAACATTTATGAAGGAATTCAGGGAAACCAGTTAGCCAGACATGAGTCCAGGAAGCAGAAAGTACAGTGCCTGCACTCTGAAGGAGGGGTGGAGATATGTTGCAGTTTCTTAACTGTAGTAGCGGCATGTCTCTGGCAAGATGGTTATGGAGTGAGTGATGATGAAAGTGGTTTCTTCTTTTTCAGCTCACCCTGCCTTGGTGGGAAATGGCCGATGTTTAAAAAACTCCATTTGTGTTATAATTACACCATCTTTTGCATTGCCAAGTCATCATGCCCCCTAAAGAATGCAGTAAACATGCCCTCTCTCTATACAATACAATACAATTTTCATTTCTTTATGTGATACAAATCATGTAATTAACACAATGTACAACTCTGATAGGCACAAAAAAAGCCACTAGTGTGCAATGCATTTCAGGTCAACTAATGAAGATCAAGCAGGAAATTAGGGTATTGGTGCATGAGTATGGCTTGTTACTTTGCTGTTATCAAGCAAACAGAAATAATAAAGAATAAGTATTAAAGTGGCAGACAAATCAAAGCTAGTGAAAAAGCCAGATATACTATCACAGAGATGGAAAAACTGTTGTTATTGTGGATGAGAGAGAAGCAGATGAAGGGAGATATAGTGTCTGCAACTTATATCAGCGAGCATTCACATCCACGGTAAAGTAAAAATTACACTTCCAGGGTCTTGAAATGAATTACCATAATACCATGTACAGCCTATCCTCACTTACTGACAACTTGGAGTTATGACGGGCTCTCTGACGAGTAGCTATTGTATACTGTAAAAGAACTTGGGTCATGAATGGGCAGCACAGCGTCGAGCATCTGAATCTCCTTCTTAGAGCCACTAGGTACACTAGTTTTCACAGTCTCCAAGACTACATATTTGTACAAATTTCCTATTGTTTTTATTCTTCCAAGTGGACAAACAACAGGAAAATGGAAGTACTGTATAAAAGAAGTTCATTGTAAAGGGGTTATTGATGTGCCTCAGCATCAAGCAATCTCCAAGACTACATATTTCATCTATAAATTTGTACTGTATTGTGCATCCCATAGTAGAAGATAGTGTTAAAAGTGCAGCAGCACTTAGAAGAGGAAAAACATGAGGAAAATGGAAATACAAAAAAGTTCACAGTAAATGGTGTGTTCACAGCTGGTGTGTTCATCTGCGTTTACAATGTCAGTGTATCATGGCAGCTTAAGAAATTATTAAACTTAGTGAAAAAGGTATGTCAATGGTAATAATGGTAATAATAATAATAATAATAATAATAATAATAATAATAATAATAATAATAATAATAATAATAATAATCGCTCTGGAATGCTTTAAATGTCAGCTACCAAACCTATACAAAATACGTATCTCATTTAAAGCGCTCCAGAGCAATTTATTATTATCAATTATTATATTATTATTATTATTATTATTATAAATTATTATTATTATAAATTAGTGGAACCTCGGCTTACGAGTTTAATCAGTTCCATGATCTTGCTCATATCCTGATTTGCTTGTATGCTGAGTCAATTTTCCTCTTTTAAATTAACTGAAATGCCATTAATCCGAACCAGCGGAATTCCTGCTCTGGGAGGCAGGACAAAAATAATTCAATATGATGCTAATATCAACTCTATGGCTTATTTATCTATCACAATTCATCTGACATAATAAACAATATAATTAACATAGAAACATGATATATACTCTAGAATGAATAAAATAGGCTATAATATGGCTAGTGGTGGCGGTGGTGACCATTCCCTCTCCCACTCTATCTTCCCGTGCTTTCATTATAAGAGAAAATGGAGTGTTTGTGGGGCTAACTGCACCAGTTTCATAAATAAGTTTCATAAATAAGAAATATTGTATAAAAACATAATAGAGAACATAAAGAAATAAAGTGTTTTTATAAAATGTACGTACGCTGGTGGAGTTGGAGGCTACCTGCTACTAGCTCCTACTGCCACTGCACACCTCACTTGTTTATCTATGATTTCATGCTGTAATTCCATGGACATCCTCTTTTTCTTCTCAGCACTGTCCTTTGCACTTACTTTCTTAGGACCCATTGTTACAAAAAAGAAATTTGGCAATAATAACACGAGAAATACTTTCACAGCAACATAAACACATTACACAGCTTAGCTGATGTTGTGGCATTGGCTGTGCCACCTAATGGCTATGTTCTGAAACTTGCTCATTATTATTATTAATTATTATTATTAGTATTATTATTACTAATACGTATATTATTATTACACAGTGGAACCTCTACTTGCGAGCGCATCCACGTGCGAGTTTTTCCAAATACGAGCAGTTGATGGGCCGATTTTTTGCTTCCATACGCGAGCAAAATTTCCATGAGCGAGCAGACCTCACGGGAGGTTCCTTGACACTGGTGAGGGGCTCTTGCTCTTGATCTAGGAAACTGGATCTCATTTGTTTGTTGGACTATCTTATTGAAACTTGGACAATGTATGATGGAAAGATGCTTCTTAACGTATACACCAAAAATGAAAGAAATCGGAGCATAAATAATGAGTTCACATCTCAGCAATTAGCCACCCCTTAGCGGTATTTTCGTATGGGTTTTACGGTTGTATTCTCTTTTTTTTTTTTTGGGTCTCATTTGGCAGAATGGAAGATAATTACAGAAATAGATATGATTTTGATTGCTTTCATGATGAAAAGTACCCTGAAATTGAGCTCAAATCAGCAGAACTGTTCAAATCTTTGGCAATGTTCAAGAGTAAACAAATGACGTCGCTGTCCATTCCAATATGCAGTCGTGAATGGGTCGACATTATTTATACAATTATTGCAATAAGGCAGTAGTCTGCATAACAGTAAATCTTCTATTTTTTTGTATGAATAAAAATTACCAAATATTTATATAATAATAACAACAATAATAATAATAATAATAATAATAATAATAATAATAATAATAATAATAATGATAATAATAATATGATATATAATAATAATAATAATAATACATATAATAATAATATATTACGTATAATAGTAATACATATATAATAATAATGTACTATATAATAATAATTATAATAACAGAAGGCTTCAAAAGTCCGTCACTAGATGGCAGTGCTTACCACAACAAAGAGGGAGCGGTTGTGGTCGCCTCCACCTGTTACATAATGACATACAGTAGACCATTATTTAACACGTTAGTTACGTTCCTGAAAACATAGTGTTAGGTAAAAATCGTGTTAGATGAACTGAAAAACTTCTGGGAAAAATAGGGTTACGTTCCAAAGAGCCCCAAAAAAGCCAAACAACATTTTTTAGGCCTCCACATCTTAAATTGTGGGTGCTGGTGTTCGTGGATGATTGTGAAGAGAGTGGAGAGCTATGCTGTGGCCCTACTGGACTGGTGTGGATGTGTAAGTCAGTCAAGTCTCAAGTCATTCAGTAAGTCTCAAGTCATTCAATAAGTCAGTCAAGTGATTCAGTAAGTCAGTCAAGTGATTTAGTAACTCAGTCAAGTGATTCAGTAAGTCAGTCAAAGATTCAGTAAGTCAGTCAAGTGATTCAGTAAGTCAGTCAAGTGATTCAGAAAGTCAGTCAAGTGATTCAGTAAGTCAGTCAAGTTATTCAGTACATCAGTCAAGTGATTCAGTAAGTCAGTCAAATCATTCAGTAAGTCAGTCACTCAGTAAGTCAGTCACACAAACTTATGTTTACCTCTTTTTTGTGTGTACTAAGTAACATTTCATTATGGCCACAGGATGTCTTGTGTAATATCTTTGTTTCCTTCGTTAATTCTAAGACTTAAATGCTTACACCTTTTCTTGCCACTTTGAGCAACACTGGTATGCCTATTGGGTGTCAGGATTGCTTGGCAGATACAAGATAGAGCAATTAAAAGATTAAAACACAATTCACAATCACAAGCTTGTAACAGAGAAGTTGGATTGGACACGTATGAAGGATGAATGCTGGGATGGTGGAGTGGTGTTAGGGGTGGCTGGGAACGGCGGAAGTCTACCGCTGATCAACAACAAGGCAGCCACTTGAGGAAAAGGGAAGTTTTATTTTCCTTCCCACAAACTGAACCATGTTAAATTCAACTTACAACGTGTTACATAAAATTGTCCTGCTATTCTTCAATCGTGCTATACCCAAATCGTGCCAAATAAACTTGTGCTAAATGACGGTCTACTGTATTTTATTCATTCTGGAGTATATATCAGGTTTCTATGTTATTTATATTGTTTGTTATGTCATATTAGATGAATTATGATAGATAAATAAGCCATATAGATGATATTAGCGAAATTATTCAAAAGTATTTTGTCCGG